CATCAATGCAAGTTCAAAGTTATTCCACTGTCCAAACACAAACGAATTGAAGCTAAACTTAAAAAGCCAGACCATTACCAAAGCCATTTAAAATCAGAATTCAAGATTGCTATGAACCAATGATGTTTTAGTAAAGATCACGGGTCAAAAATCTATTTAGTAACCCAACAAAATCTGCGATAGAAGAATCGAGAAATACGAATACAAAAATTCCTTGAGGGAAAGAGTATGGATGTCAAGGATGGCCTTTGAGATCACCTAATCTGTTTGGTTTCATAACAGAGAAAAGAAGAATGAAGAATCCTTTCAGGTTTTAAGGAGAACTCAAATATCAGAGACAGAGAAAGACAGGTAAAAAAAGTTACCTATGACACGGAATGCGTCTATACAAAAGCATAACGGTAAGTATAAGCGTGCCTGCGGCTGAACACAAATGCTCCAGTGAGTGCCCGCTGATGATATATCGATTCGCATTGTATATTTTGTTGTCTGCAAATCCTTCAATCTTGGCAATAGCGTAGGCCACTGCATTCATAATAATCAGAAATCATCAGAAGAGAGTAGATTCTACACAAGAATACCGCAAATGTGTTTTTGAGCCAAAAACCTGTTGCCCAGAGCCAGAATTTAGAGTGAGTATATTTGGGAGGTAACAAAACCGTCATGATGGGAATCGCCAGGCACGGAATTAACTGGAACGTCATGCATAACCGGAGATCATTAAACACTCTGCCATCAACTAGAACGCATATAATTTCAATCCGAACCTGACTAAAATCATGAATTATATAATACGGAGGAGGTAATGACTTTTTCGGTTTGAATGTAACCTGGCGTAAGCAACGCTGAGAAATGATATGAATAGAAGCAAGACTAGGCAACTCAGTCCTACTTTCTCCCCCGCTCTCTCAACCAAAAAACTAGAGAAAAGCGATGAATACGCAATCAATATCTGCAATTTACCGCCATTAATCAAGAAACAGCAATTCATAACCAATCACTATAGCAACAAAAACCCACAACTTCACAGCCAGAATCTCTAAAAAGATTCGTCTAACCGTCTTTCCATTAGCTATACTAAGATTCTTGACGTTTTTTTTGTTCACAATGTGCTTGTATTATCAATCCAAGAAGACTAAATGATTCATCTAAGCTTTCTTTCCATTACTAAAATTACGGTCTTCGAGTTTTTATTCACAACATGTTTAATCAATATCTGTAATTACCATCATTAATCAAGAAACAACCAGTACAAGATTCATCTAAAGCTCCTTTTCATAAGCTAAAGGAAGATTCATTCCAAGAACACTAAATTAAAGTGGTTACAAAGTTGGTGAGAAAACGAACAGGCAAAGTGTCCAAGGCGAGTCTAGTGTCATCAGGTTTGAGATGATAATAAGCAGAGGCAAAGGCAAAGCTTGCAATGCCTCCGTAGAACACTGTCCATCCCCAGATCTCACCTTTCAAACTGCATTACACAATCAACAAAAAAACTCAAATGTTTAACACTAACTATAAAAAAAACTTCAAATTTAAAGGAAATAAGAGAAGAGAAAGAGAACCTTATATTGAAGAAGCTTCCTGCAATGCAAAGAACAAAACCAAGAACCCCAATAATAAGAAAAGGAAAGTTGGTCATGACATTCAATGTATTAGGCACTCCTGTGTTCATCAACCCAACATAAAACACATGTCGTTATTACACACATGC